CGGCGGCCCAGCCGTGCTGCTCCGCGCCCCGGAGGCTGCCCAGTTCCTGCGGCAGCGGCACCGGCGAGCCTACCAGATCTTCGAGGAGACCAAGCAAGGGCACCTGGAGAGGGAGTGCGTGGAGGAGCACTGCAGCAAGGAGGAGGCCCGGGAGGTCTTTGAGAACGACCCCGAGACGGTAAGGGCGCAGACCCTCCGCGGAGATTTGGGTGGGTTGTGAGGCTCTGCCCTCCATCCCTCCCTCCCTCCGTCCATCCATCCACCCCTGCACAGCCGGGAAGCCGTTGGGAGGAGGAGGAGGAGGAGGAGGAGGAGGAGGAGGAAGGGGAACCAGAGCCATTAGGTGAAGGACTGGATGCCACACGGTGTAATTACGGCACAGCCTGCGCTGAGGCCGTGCCTGTGCCGGGATGCGCAGTGGCAGTGCTGTCCCATTAAAAATGTCGCGGTTAGGATGGCCGGGTGAGCGGCCTGGCCTGGTGCCTGGTGGCATGGCTGCCGTCTCCAGAGAGTGGCAGGGCCCTGGTCATCTGTGGCGTGAACCCATGAGGCAAGACCAATGCAACATAATGCTATGGCTCCTCCATCGTGACACCTTAGCATCCCTCTTCCCTTCAGTCTCCCATTCCGTCTGTATTTAAAATGTTGTGGCATATGTCAGAATAGGGGTTTCTCAGAAGAAGTATGTCATAAACTCACTTGAATCCTTTCGGGCTGTTTTCAGCTTAGTCAGCATTTTGGAATTGGTAGGTTCGGGACCTGTCACGACAACAGCAGGAGAGCACGTGTACAGGAATGTGGTACTTGAACACAAAACATGGATTCACACAGTTACAGCCTGCACACCGCATGCAGGGCTGACTTCTCCAGCCTTCTCACGGCTGTCACTTCAGCCTTCTCACTTTGGACAGCATGTGGCTGCGGTTGCATTGCTTTACTAAGCTTGGCTTGCTCTTCCAATTACTTGACACCTCCTCTCTATGCTGTTTTGGATAGGCTGTTCTCATTGCAGAGATTATCTGGCATCGATTTAGCAGTGGGAAGTGGATTTTCTTCAGACTGAAGCTTGATATTGCACAGTGTGTTCCTGTTAATGGTATGATGCTCTAGGGAGAAGATAGGGAAGGGAGAGAACGAGAGAGAGTGTGTGTGTGTGTGTGTACACAGACACACCACAGGCGAGGGAGGGACTCATCTGAGGAGATGTTTTATGCTTCAGTCAGACAAGTCTTGACATGTGTGCTTCATTAGCAGGCTCAGCGCTGGATATACAGTGCAGTAGCTTGTTGACACAAGGCAGTAGTAAGCACAGCAAAAACATCGTGATGCTGGCTTTTCTTTTTGACAGTGTTTAATTTAGGGCTTAATATGGAGCACTTGCCCAGGCAGCATTTAACGGTACACATTTTATGTGCACGTGTAGGCACATCTGCATGCAGCAGTGTTTGTTTCTGTCCTGGAAAACTGAGCTAATACACAATATGGATAACTGTAATGTGGTGAGAGGGGCTGGCAGAACTATTTCCATATTCACGTTGAGTAATATGACTTTAAGGTCAGTATAAATATTCACCATATAGCAGCAAATGCAGGAAAAAATATCGCAAATATGATTTTGTAACGTTCTGAAAAAAAGGTGATCTGAGGTCACCAGTTTTGCTGACTGGCGTCTGGCCAAGAAGGTAGCCAAAAGCGATGCATTGATAGATGAGTTTAGAGGGTGGTCGACTGTGTAGATGTGTCAGCTCTTAACAATGTTTGGTACTTATTTTGTGTATTGGACAAAATACACAGTTCTTCTAGTGTAATGAAAACATTGAAAACATTTTGGTTTAAAATCTTTTCAATGTGTAGTATAAATTCTCTAAGATGCAGTCATGCCATTTAAGCGTGTTTTGCAGGTCAGTACAAACTTTCTGTCACTGCAAATGATTTTGGTCTTTTTGGTGCATTTCCTTTGTTACCACTGATAGGTCTCTTTCTAGTTCTGAAACCTGTGAAGAAATAGCACTATGGCTAGATGAGCTTCCAGTGTCTGTGCCCTCTTGCTTATTTTGCATGTGCTTCTACAGCAAAGTAGTGTATTTTATAATACTTTTAGGTCTGCAGTGATGTAAGGTCCTACCTTTTCTGAGACACAAACCTCCCAAGAGCTGTGAACTTGCTTGTTACGTGCTGTATGTCCTACTCCTTGCTCTTACTTTGCTTCAATTTGACTGGGAAGCAAGTGTGCCACTGCCTGTCAGGGGGATTTATGTCCCTTCCTATCCATTTTGCAATTAGTGTGTGATTTGAAGGCAGCAGCTGCTGTTCAGTAGCAGTTTTCTAATGCATGGTGGGAGAGGTCATGTATGCAGGCTGTTATCACACACTAGAAGCCTTCAGTGCTCTCTAAGGCATAGGTGACTACTCCTCCGGCAATATCTGTGAATTTGATGGACGGAATATTAATACGCACCTGAGGTAATGGAAGTGTTTCCTGATCACTAGGAAGTTATCATGCTGTCATTCCACTGATGCTGCGTTGTACGTTCTGTCCTGGTGACTGACAGAAGAAGGAAGCTAGCTGAGAGTTGACTCAGGAAAGATGAAAGCTGTTGATAAACAACGCCTATCAGTTTGAGGAATTACAGTAACTGCAGTCACACTTCAGTGTATTGGCAAGCTGCAGCTGATCCATGCTGGCTAAGTGAGGTCTTTTTATTGACCAGAGAAACATACAGATTGCTGTTGGCAGCTGATGATTCCTTGTAGTTTAGGCAGGCTGAAATTTTTGTCTCTGCCTACTGAACCTGGTCACAGAGACTTAACTACTCAGGTCGTAGCAGAAAGAAACAGCTACATCACTTCTTGCCCTGCGCTGAGCCCTACAGCTAGCCTTGTAGTAGGCAAGCCATGAGGAATGCATCACTGCACTGCTGATCTGTGCTGTTGCATCTCCCAGGTTTTGTGCTTCAAAGCACCAGATGAGGATGAATGCAGGCATTTGGCTGTTTACTGTCCCATGGGAGCAATGGTCTTACAGCCTTGAAAACTGAAGGTTAGTTTGAGATCAGTTAATAGCTTGCAGCTTCCCCATTCAATCTCAAGAAAGGTTTGCAATGTGAGCACAGAAGTGTTGTCTCTCTTCCCTGTCCTGCCCATCAGTCGATCTAATGAAATATTTGAGTCTTCCTTACAGACCTTGCATTCTTTTAACTCTCCTATGCTTCAGTCAGACAGCTCCAGAGGTTCAGGTATGATGAAGCAAGGCAGTAGCATAGCTTGCGTAACAGTACCATAACTTGATCCAGCCAATTACAACATCTAGCCAAGAATAACATTTTACCAAAAGATGCCTGTTTACAGACAGTAAATAGAAATGAAATGTCGTGTACCTGTATCAGAGGACCCTTTTTCTGTGCCTTCCATTGTTTAGTGATCAGCTTTCCAAAGCAACATCTGCAGGCAGTCAGCAGAAGATACACATTCTCTGAAACCTGAATTCGGGTGTTGCCACATGTGTGATTACTTACATCAGCTGCTAAGAATAGTGTATTAGGCGGGGCTAAATAGCCATTCATTTGCAGGCCAGTGCAGCTTTTGTCTTTTATGTTACGGAAAATATAAATATAAATATCAGCTCACCCAGACTGGAGGAAGGAAGATCAATTGAAACATTTTTAGATTAGGGGTTGGTTGTTTTTTTTTTTTTTTAGAAGGCAGAACAAAACTCAGTCTGTGCCATTTGTATGACTATACATGGTAAAAACAAGTGTGAGTCTGGCTTAATGAGTCTTGCAGCCTACCTTTTTCATGAAGCTGATCATAACATCCTTAGCTGTTATTGCAGAATTCTGGGATGGTTCCTGTTTTATAATTTCATTTATGCTAGAGATACCAAACAGAAAAATGAAAAGATAACATGGTGGGAAAAAATAAGGATGGAAAACATGTTCATGGGAGGTATGAGGACTGTTTCTACATGAAACATTAAAACATTAAAAAGATGTGCTAGGTTTGATAGATGGAATGAAGTTGCAAAATATCTTGGATATAGCGATAAGTATGTTATCTTATTTAAAATGTTGATGAGGCCTTATAAAAAGCAGTACTGCAGAAATATTTGACCTGGTATGCAGTCAAGGTATTACAGCTTGTTAACTGACTGATAAACTGCTCTGGAATTTGGTTGATCTGCTCTAAAAATGTGGTCATCCAAGCATGTAAAACAAAGGGCAGAAGGGAGTGTAGTTGCTGGTGTTCTTGGAAATGTTGAATTTCGTTGAAGAATAAACACAACAAAAAAGTATCCTTGTGCAAGGAGTTTTTCTGTTTTGAATGGCTCAGCATAGGGAAGGTGTTTGAATGCAACCTCTTACCGTTTGGTACCATAGTTTATTGGTACAGCATCTGTCACTGCACATCTTGCTTGCTGTTGTTACTGTTGAAGAACCACTGGTCTTCCTGCAGGTCACCATTGAAATCGTTGTGCTGAAGACTTTGAAAGGTGTTAGGCCCACCAGAAACGCTGATGTAGGTCAGCCTGGCCATCTGTGTTTACTGTTTATGGATTTGTCCCTCAATAGAGAACCTTGGAAAGCCAGCTGGTTCTCATATGTGTGCAGAATGAACGGCTGATTCACAGGCAGGTACATGAAAAGTTGTCCCGCTTTTTGAGGGACTTGTATCCAAACTGCTATTAAAATCTATGGCTTGTCAGATACACAAATGACTGGCAGCGAATCACAAGGTAACTTGGGCTGACGGGGACTGGAGAGGTCTATGGCCTGCTCACCTACTCCAGTCTCCCACTCACGACAAGGGCAGCAGTGAGACCATCACAGGCTTTTTGGGGCTTTTTACAGTCATGTCTTGAAAATTACTGATCCTAACAAAACATCCAGCAATGTCAGCATTCTTTTTGCTATGTTGGGTTTCTCGAGAAGCTGAAATACAGATGATGCAATGTAAAGGGTGTGATAATGGTCAGTTCGGTTGGTTTTCATAGTGTTACTGGTTCATTGGTTTTATTTCTTTATTTGTTCCGTTACGTGACATGGTCATGATAGCACAGATGACCTGCATGCATGGACTAGAGTCATCCCAACTTTACTCTGATCTTTTAGGAGGGGTGCTTCACAGACAATATTAGGTCTTATTCCTAAGAATAGCAAGGTAGATACACATTGTAAATAC